AGAAACAGCCATTCTTAACAGCCATTCTTCTCCACAGTTTGGTGTAGCGGTTAAGTGCGTGGACTCTAATCTGGGAGAACCAGTTTGATCCCCCACTTGCAGCAGCTGCTGGATGACCTTGGGCAAGCCATAGTTCTGGCACAGCTGTTCTTGAGAAAGAGCTGTTTCTCTCAGAGCTCTCTCAGTCCCGCCTACCTCACAGGGTGTCTGTGGTGGGGAGGGGGAGGGAAAGGAGTTTGTAAGCCGCTCTGAGACTCCTTTGGATAGCGAAGGGCAGGTATAAATCCAATCTCCTCCTCCTCCTCTCCTCCACAAGGACCTCTGTGTCTGTGCAGGGAGGCCCTCAGTGCTTTGTTAAACTACAACTCCCAAGATTCTTTTGGAGAAGCCATGACAGTTGGCTGCGAAGCCGATACATGTAGACTGCCATGTGGCCAAGAGACACTTTTACTTAAGTCTTTGCAATGTGTCTTCCCAGGTCCGTTCCGCAGTACGGAAGCGGTGGCACCGGTGGCAGGACAAGCACTCTATCCGGGCCAGGGTGGCCAGAGCCATGTCCATTCCCACGTCACCCACCCGCGTCAGCTTCCACAGCATCAAGCAGTCGACGGCACTCTGAGGCTGCTCCTGAAATGTCGCGGCAGTTTTGGGGACTGCCTGCCTGGACTTCCGTTCTCCCAGAACTGCGAGCCAGGAAAGTCACTGCAAGACACGGGTGGCCTTCTCGCCGAGAAGCTGCGTGCATTGGAAGGAAGCATCGTCCCTGGCCGGAACTGCAGTCTTGGTGAAACTCAGCAGCTGTGAAACAAGGGGAAGTTCCACGGCCTACCACTACACTATTCCAGTTGCACCTGGGAGAAACCTTCTCCCGGAAGGCGCGGCCTCACGTATACACTATTCCAGTTGCACCTGGGAGAAAACCTCACGCATTTGTTCCATCTGGAGTGCTTGGTTCTTGTTTTGCTTACAGAATTGAGAAGGGTTTCTCAAACCACGAGTGATGTGCGAGGAGGAGAGAGGGAGCGGTGACTCTCTCTCCAAACACAGAAACTCTGGGGGTGTCCTCGTCATCTGCCAGAGTTTTTAACAGGCAGCCCAAACCAAAGGGACAGATTCTGGAGCAGGGCCTTCAGAACTCGCTTGTTCACACAATGTTGAAGCAGCCATTAGGATAAATGGCTTTTTTAAAAAAGGGATTCTGAATTTGTTATGGCACATTATCAGTGGCTAATATCTCTAATAGCCAAAAAGCACAAACTCCATATTTCGGGGGCCTCTGACTTACCCGATTGTGGGCATTTACGAGAGTACGTGGATACTGCCGTCTGGCCCTGCTTGTGAACTTTTCTTCTGGGGATGTCTCTTGCACCGCAGTTGAGTGAGATCCAGCCAGTGCCAGTCCAATGATCTTCCTCATATTTATTCAGCAGTAGCAGATAAGGCAAGAGGCGGTGGGCTCTCAGCGAGCAGGCCAGCCTATCAGCTGGGAGGTCCATTCCATCGTTATAGGACCAAATTACAGCTGAGACGCTCCCGCCACCGACTTCTCTGACCCTGGAGACTCCCCCTGGGTCCTCAAAACCGAGTGAGAGACTGATGGCTTTTTCTTAATAAAGTACGCTGCTGTCCCCAGCAAGGATGATCCAGAACTCATCTGAATTAGGCCCTTCCCCACCCAGAGGAATATAATCAGGATCGCATGTTATTCTGTTAACAGCGCTTCACAAGGCCACAGTATTTAGCTTACCAAGACCTGTGGCTCTTTAAAAAAAAACAAGCTTCCCGTGCATATATGTGCAATGAGAGATTTTTAAATGTGTGGACAGGGCCTGGTTAAAAATCTCAGACTTTAAAGGGGGGGGGGGAGTGGCGATTTCCTGTGGTCAGGAGGTTCTCCGTTGCTCTTTCCTTCTCCCCATGAGAAGCCGATTTGCATCGTTTATATAGGGTTGCCAGCTCCAGGTTTGGGAAATACCTGGAGATTTTGTGGGTGGAGGCTTAGAAGGGCAGGGTTTGGGGTGGAACTTCAGTGGGGTATAGTGCCATAGATTCCACCTTCCAAAGTGGCCATTTTCTCTAGGATCAGTTGTAATCCCAGGAGAGCTCCAGGTACCACCTGGACATTGGCAACCCTTATTTATACAGGCCACACAGCACTCATTACTTCAGCCAGCTGCAGAATAGAACTGACCTCGGTATAGAACCAATACACTGAACCCAACGCCTCTTGCATTAGCTTTTGGGTTGAGATCCCCCTCAGAGGGTAACAGAACTTACCTGCATTTTAGTCAGTTTAGTTGGTGTCGAGCGAGTTAGCTGAGATGGTTATTCACAGTGCCTCTGGGCAGGGCTTTTTTTTTTAATCAGGAACTCCTTTGCATATTAGGCCACACACCCCTCATGTAGCCAGTCCTCCAAGAGCTTACAGTAGCCCCTGTAAGAAGAGCTCTGTAAGCTTTTGGAGGATTGGCTACATTAGGGGTGTGTCGCCTAGCATGCAAAGGAGTTCCTGCTACAAAAAAAGCCCTGCCTCTGGGCATGTGGAGTTTCCTTCCCAATGAGCCAAATTAGCTGGCCTCTAGGAAAGGTATCTTATCTTATAAAAACTTGTGACATGGGCCAAAGGAAGCCCAAAGTGAATCAGGAATGGATACTGGAGAATTACAGGGCCAGAGATTCTAGAGGTCAACTTTTCTAGAAGACAGTTGGCAGCAAATTCTACGCCATACCCGTCTACACCTACAAGTTCATTTAAAGCCGGATTATGCAACCTACGATACTCCACGCCCATCCGCGGATCCGTTTCCCTGCCTGGAACTGCGGTGTGTGTTTGTCTCAAGCAGACAACAGCCACATGGCTGGTGGGCGGAATGGCTCTCAAGTGGTGCTGCTCAGACCATTTCAAGCTGTCATATGCAATTAAAGTACTGCCCAACTTAATTCAAACGTCTAGCAATCCAAAGGGGCTAACATTCTTGCGGAAAGGGATATTTACGTGAACACTGTAGTCAGGACCACATAGGGAGAAAGACGCTGGCGGGAATGCACACACCCAAGCCCTGCAAACACGGACGCTCATACCCAGAATTAAACGCTGTTGGTTTTGAAGGTGCCCCTGGACTCACACTTTGTTCTGTTGCTTCAGACCGACACGGCTGCCCCACCTGACTCTAGCAGCAGCCTCTGAATGGGGCTCCTTCCCCACGCCCTCTGAAAAGCTCAGCGAATCTCACTTTTTTTCCTATTCTGACCGCCCCTTGGCTCTAGAGCTGACCTCAGTGGTCCCTGGGAGGCATTCCCTGGTTTCCACATCCTTGCCGATCACTTGGAAGACAAGAGTGAGCTCTGGGCCTGAGAAGATCTTTTGCTGAAGCAAGAGGGCCACTTAATTTGTCCAGAGGCAATGGAATCCAGGGAGATTTTAAACCTGGATTTCCACCCTTTGGCAAACTTTGTTTCCCCACAGCACAAGCGCTTAAGGCCATTTCGGTGTAACCCCTTTCCCAATACATGTTTTAGAAACGCATTTAGGCCAGACAATGACTGAAGATGTGCGTCGGAAAGGTCAACTGTGACTGCCGGGCGCTATAGGGGGAAAGGGATCTGATTCAAAGTGTGACAAATTCTGTGATGTTCAGAAATATTTCAAGTAGAGCTCTGACCTGGATAGCCCAGGCAAGCCAGATCGCAGAAATGAAGCAGGGTCAACTCTGGCAAGTACGTGGATGGGAGACCTCCAAGGAATACCAGAGGCAGGAGGTGGGGGCAGGCTTCATTCAGCCACCTCTCTGAGTATCCTCCTGGCCCCCAGTAGGGGTCAGTCACCAGAGGTCACTATGCCTTCCAGGTGCACACACAGTCAGTCACCAGAGGTCGCCATGAATACCATGACTTCCAGGTGTACACACACACACACACAAATACAAAAAAAAATTCAAGGGGAGAGGAAGGCCTTGAATATAGTAAAATGTGGATTTCTGGGGGGATCTTGTCCTCACCAAACCCAGAATGCGTGCATTCGTTCAAATTGTAAGCTTTGAGGTGCAAAAGATTTTCTGGTTGGGGAAGGGAGTTGTGAAACTTTCCAATGGCGTCATGTGCATTTTACAATTTTGGATTCAAACAACCCACCCCCACCCCACCCCCAACGTTGGTTGAAGAAATGCCACACTAAAGTTTTGGTAAAACAAAGTTCTACTATATTTAGTCCTAAACCAGATATTATTATTCCCCCTCCCTATTCTAGAGTCCAGTCCGGGCTGAGCCACAAACCTTTGTGGCCCGCCCACCCCTTGATCCCACCCCCCGCCCCCAGCCATGAAGCACCAGTCCGAAAGGTAACAGGAATGTACAAGCAGCTGGAGAAAGACCACGGCTCTGGCGAACGGCCGTGCATGAACTGGGCACAGGCTTGGTGTGTGGGTTTTGCGGGAGAGAAGTTTCCACAAAAGCAAAGGGCTTTTGATGCTCACGCAACGGCATCGTCTCCGCTCTCTCAATGCTCACTTAAAACCATCGGTGGCGGGTGAGGCCGGACTCCATTCTGCTTCTGGCCACGCTGTTCGAGTCCACGGTTCCCATTGGAGCAGGTGGCTCTTGCTTCCCCCCCCCCCCCCCGTCAATCTCTTTCCTCAGGAGCGGTGGTGAAGAAAAGCACTACGATTCCTCTCAGAGGCACTGGCCGCCAGCCCACATTCGGCAAGCGGCAGCAGAGACACGATCCTACCCCACTGGCTCTACTGCTGAACTTTCCTTCCTTCCTCCCACTTGGTTCTGTGCGTCTGCCAGTGCCTGGGTCTCAGAGTAACCTCATCTGCTGACAGACGCATCGATCCCAAACACACACAACCAGTGTTCCCTCTAAGCCGAGTTAGTGTGAGCCGGCTCACAGTTTCTTAGCCTCCGGCTCACACCGTTTTGTCTCCGCTCAGGAAGGATGGCTCCGGAGCAGACTGATTTGTGCCACAGCCAAATCGCTCCCTCAAAACTGTAATGCCGCTTGCTCACACAGTAGGATTGTTGCTCACGAGACTCCACAGCTTAGAGGGAGCTTTGGAGGAAACCCACCCCCACATAGTGGGAGAGCCACCGGGCCAATGTGCCGGTTTGGGAGGGGCTCAGCATCTCGGTGAAGCCCAGCGAAACTTCTCCTCCACAGAAGGAAACAAAGGCAGACTGACCAAAGGAAGGGAGACGTTGAGCCACGAACCCGCTGTAGGGACAATGCGAGGGGCGGCAGGGAGCACGAATGCCTATGAAGGAAGGGGGAAGTTGTGGCGTGGTAGTCGGTGGCCAGAGGGCGGGCATCTTTGTGTGTGTGTGTGCACCTAGGAAGTGAGTGCCCGTGATCACACCGAGGTGCACAAACGGTGGTGCTTGCCGACCCCTCTTAGCTACAGTCGACTTGGAGTGCTTCCTCCCCCCTCCTGCAGAAAAGCAGATTAATTGACACCCTCCCCCCCCCACACACACACTCCAAGACTTACTAATGTGTCCAGCTTGATCGTGCTGACCTGGTGTTCAAGAGCTCAATCACGACTCCAGGGAATATTGCTAATGTCCCACGTGGGGACGGTGGCCGCCTGTCTACGACCTGCTCCATCCGGACACCAGATGCTCCAAGCGAGGCTGGCAGGAGGCCACGCAAAGAAACAAAGCTGCCAGGTTACCTGGCGAATAACAGTCGGGCTCCGAAAGGTCGACTGCTCCCGTGCCCCGTCAGCACCTCCCACCCATCTACAGAGGGTTAGACCCCCGCCCACGAAACTGAGGTTCAGCTAGGGGCACCCACTGGCCGTGAGGGACTGATGAAAGGCAGGAGTGCTGGGGAAGCACCCAAAGGGTCAGAGAGGGCTGGAGCAGAAAGGGAGGCGGGCAGAGGAGGATACGGCCCAGGGCAGGCCCAACGAGGCAGTGCCTGCCGCGCCTCGGGCTGCCGTGAACACCGTGGGCCCTGCTGCGGGAGGTGTGTGGGCGCGGGGCTGTGATTCACGGGTGTCGGGCACCCCCCCGCGTTCGTGCTGCTGGTGGTCCAGAAGGGACACGGTGTCCATGGCAGAGGCGCTGAGCAATCGGGCACTCTGGTGGCGGGGGGCGGGGGGCAGCCCGCCGTGGGTGCGCTGGTGGCGTTTGAGATGAGCGCGGCGAGCAAAGCGCTTCCCACAGGCCGTGCAGGGATAGGGCCGCTCCCCGGTGTGAGCCCGCTGGTGGATGAGGAGCTCGGAACGTTGCAGGAAGCGTTTGGCGCACACGGTGCAGGCGTGGGGGCGCTCGCCGCGGTGCATGCGCCGGTGCTTGCTGAGGTTGGAGCTGACGCTGAAGCGACGGCCGCACTCGGTGCAGACGTAGGGCTGCTCCCCGGAATGCGAGCGCACGTGGATGGTGAGGTCGGAGCGCTGCAGGAAGCGCTTCCCGCACTCCCCGCAGCCGTAGGGGCGTTCCCCGGAATGCAGGCGCCGGTGCTTGCTGAGTGCTGAGCGCTGGGTGAACCGCCTCCCGCATTCCCCGCAGGAGTACGGCCGGTCCGGTTCTGGGGGTGGGGATGGAGGCGGGGGAGGCGTCGCCAGGCCCCCGCCGCACTCCACGCAGCGCCGTGAGCGCCGGTGGCGCTCCAGGTGGCAGCCCCAGCGGAAGCGCCGCCCACAGTCACGGCACTGGTGTGGCTTTTCCGCCGCGTGGCGCTGCTGGTGCCTTTCCAAGTTGGCGAGGATTCGGAAACGCTTCCCGCACTCCTCGCAGGCGTGGGGTTTCCGAGACGGTGCCACAGCAGAGTTTACCGGTGAGGGCTGGGCAGAGGTCAGCGGCTCCGTGGAGTTTAGCGACAGAACCGCGGAAGACGCTGAGGCGGGGTCCGGCGGAAGGGTCAGGGCAGAGTTCAATGGCGAACCGGATCTCCTGCACGGGCCGCAGCGGTGCGGTTTCTCTCCTGCGGGCGGGCGCCGGCGTCTCTGGACGTAGCGTGGTTTCTGCCACCCGGACAAGAACTGGGCTCTCTCGCCAAACGGTGGCCAGATCCTCCCTTCGTCGAGGGTGTCCCGACCGATGCTACCGAACAGACTGCAGCCGATGCTGTCCCGGGGCTCGGAGCCTGACCCCCACCTTGCCCCCACCAAGGAGCTCTGCTGATGGGAAAGGCTGTTCTTGTGCTCTTTGGCATCTCCGTGGCCAGTCTTCCCAGAAACGGGTGGCTTTTGCCCCGCCAAGGGCCCCGGATATGAAAGGGGCATCTGCAGCTCGTTCTCAGGCGGCTTCCGGGCCAGGACTGCAGACCCTTCAAAGAGTCCAGCGTGAAGCTCCCGCGGGGCCTCCAGACTGTTCTGCCTGCCATCGCCTGCTGCTGAAAGAGAAAGGGGGACAGAACTTTGCGCTTGGAGAATAAAACACGGGAATCACAGTGATAATAATGATTGTATGGTGGTGTGTGGGATATAAATTGCCGGGCAAGGTGGGATATAAATTGAAAGTAATAAATAAATAAGAATAGCCAGGAGATCCTAAGATTGTCTGGCAGCCAAAAGCTCTAGCTCTTTTTTAGTGTTACACACCACTAGGTGGTGAGCTAGACTGTTTTTTTAAGGCAAGAGACGTTTCAGAGGTGGTTTGCCATTGCCTGCCTCTGTGTCACGCCCCTGGTATACCTTGGAGGTCGCCGTTCCAAATACTAGCCGGGGCCGACCCTGCTTAGCTTCCGAGATCTAATGAGAGACAGAGCTAGCCTGGGCTATCCACGTCACTGATAAACATGGGAATGTACAAAAGATACACACGGACCTCCCCTTTTACGGTAAAGGAGGCAGGTTTGGTCAGTCAAGAGGGGCTACAGTTGAGCGGTGCAACAAATGCATGTAAAAAAGCCGGGTTCAATCCTAACTCGTGTAGAAAACCTCTGGACAGCTACTGCCAGATGGGATAGAGAAACCTCACTGGGCAAAAGGCCCCACTTGGCCCCACCCACTTTTCAAACACACACAGCAGGCACCAGGGCACACATCACGTATGGCTGGATTCACTGTAACTTAAGAAAGAAGGCAGCCAGTTCTTGATAGGCTGGGTCCTCCAGGTCTTTGTAGATTGTGACTGGCACTCCTCTGCATATTAGGCGACACACCCCTAATGTAGCCAATCCTCCAAGAGCTGATAGTAGTCCCTGTAAGAAGAGCTCTCCAATATGCAAAGGAGTTCCTGCTACAAAAAGAGCCCTGCATGATTTGGCAGAACCTAAAGCTCTTCTTTAAAAGTCTAATGGGGTACGGACAACCTTCCCACATTATGACATGTGGCGTGGGAAGGGACGGCAGGCACCCGAGTACACTTGCCCAGCCTCTGTGGAATCTCCTGCAGAGCGCGACCGCTTGGAGGAAGTGGGTGCACGCACAGCCCTTCACTGTGAGCAATGACACGCAAACACTGCTGATCACGGGGAGGGTGTGTGCACACGGCTACTTCCTCCGCGTGGTCGCATGCCGTAGATGACTGCGTAGATCGCGCAGCAGTGGGGCCAGCATGTCTGTGCCTGCTGTCCGTCCCACCCCCCCCCCCACGCCATGAGTCAATGGACAGGGAGGTCGTCTGTACTGAGTTCGTATCTAGGGGCCTGCAACGAGAAGTCACAGAAGGGAACAGAAAACAACAGTGGTGATTTCGTTGTGGATTCTGCTTGTACTTTGCTTTAAAACAAAGATTCCAAATTCTGCTTGGAGGTAAACCCAATTCCGCTACTTGAACAAATACGGTCATTGTAGGCGGATTGGAGTACGTCTGATTCCGTTTGCACAAGTTACTCCATTTCGGAGAGACAAGGAGTTATGCATGAAAGGAAAAGGGGGCAGGGGCAGCCCCATAGCTGGTGAGGGGCACTGGACAGAGGAGGGGCCGGGGGAGAAAAGAGGGTGCGGCGGGGAGGGACGGGAAGATCAGGCAGGGACTAGACCATTTGCGGGTGGGGATGCAGCCCCACAGAAAAACTATCAACAGTCATGAGGCAAAGGCAGGCCGAAGGTCACAGCCCGGCAAGTTTAAGCCTCTGGCTGCTCCCGGAGGAGGAGGAGGGCCGGGCATAAACCACCAAAGCCCATCCTTCTCAGCGCTTCCCTCCCGCCTCTTCGTCCCCAGCCCTCTCCTGCCTGTGCCGATGTGGCCGGGCAGAAAGAGGAAAGGGCAGGGGCCACACTGGGGCCAGTGAACGGGCTCAGCTGCTCTGCAGGAATGTGGCTTCTTCTGGTTCCCCTTTTCTAACGCTTCTGACCTGAGAGAGACACTTTAGAAAAAAAAGCTCTCTCTTTCCGACACCTAAATCGGCAAACGGGGGCTTTGGTTTCCTTCCCCACTTCTTAAAAGCCAGATAAAGCAAAACTCTGCTGCTTCCCTCCCTTCCCTTTTCGGCGTATCGGTGTAATTGGTGGAGACTGAAGTTAGTCACAATAATAATAATTCGGCTTTCCTTTCCCCAGCCATCCCCCCCCCCACAAAGGGGAGAGGGGTCCCAGTTGTTGTTTCTACCATGGAAAAAGTCTCTTGTGGTCAGTTGGCCAGGCCACCATAACACTGCAGCCCTGGACAAATTACTCCAGACCGGATGAACCGAGCCCTGCCTGCTCGGCCCGCCATCTCCGCCTCTCCCTCGGCCAGATTTTTTTTGGGAGGGGTTATGCAAATTTGGGAGGGGGCGTCGCCCCATGGGCCCCGCGCTACCAACGGCCCTGGGCAGGGGGTTGACAGGAGGAGGGCCTGAGAATAAACCTGTGCCACACTGCAGGTGGGTAGTGGTCAGTGTTGGACTGGGACAGGGGTGGCCAAACTGCAGCTCGGGAGCCAAATGCGGCTCTTTCACACATACCGTGCAGCTCCCAGCAAGGGTAGTGAAGGGGAGGTCTTCTCTTCCCCAGCCAGTGTTCCCCTCCCTGGGTAGGCTTGAGGTGTGTGTGTGGGGGGGAGCAAAGAAAGGAAGCAACTTAAACTTTAAATACGTTCTCAAAGCCTCCCTCCCGGCCAGCCAGCTTGGAGAAGGCATTTGTCTCTTTAAATCTCTTCTCCATGCCAAGCCAGCTGGCGTTGGGGCATGGGGGGGGGGGGGCTTGGGGAACAATTTTAAAGTTAAA